CCCCCCCCCCTTTTTTTAAGTATGAATATCTTGCTTCTTACTCATCCTGCTACAGCAATCTACCCAAAGGGAACCCACTGTCCTTCGTATCCGATCAGCTCAAATGTCACTTCTTCAGGAATCCTCTCCACTCCCCTGCCGCCTGGTGATACTGCCATTCAGAACAAGAAATACACGTTTGGTCTCGTGGCCCAGAGCTCCTAAAACCCTTGAAATTTCCCAAGTGATATGGGCAAGAAGAAAGGTGAAAGGAGCATCTCTGCTATTCATAACAAGCACCACCGGCCACACCTGCTTTCTGCTAATGAGCAGACACCTGGAAAGCCCCCAGATAAAAGCACAGGGAGGGGGCTGGGTGCCAGTGGGACCAGCCAGGTTGGCTCAGCTCCACCCCCACCTCTTGGCAAAAGAAGGGGGCCAGAGGTTAAGTTCATCACAGCTGGCAGTGACTGGATCAGTGGCCCCTGCATATGGTACCTCCAGAGAGACCCTAGCAGAGGAGGTTGGGAGAGCTTCCAGGCTGGTGACCAGAGGGGCTGCTGGGAGGGCGGTGCACCCAGAGACGGCATGAGAGCCCCAAGCCCCTTCCCACACGCCTTGCTCAATGCATCTCCCATTTTGCTGCTTCTCAGTCATATCCTTTCCAAATAAACTGCTAATCTAGTAAGTAAACTGTTTTCCTGAGTCCTGGGAGCCGCTCTAGCAAATTACTGAACCTGAGGAGGTGGTGGTGGAAACATCCAATGTATAGCCAGCTGGTCCGAAGCACAGGTGACGACCGGGGACTTGTGATGGGTGACTGGTGGGGAGGCAGCCCTGGGGGCTGAGCGCTGACCCTGTGGGGTCCGTGCTCACTCTGAGGGGATGGTGTCAGAATGGAGTTAAGTCATCAGATGCTCAGTGGGTGTCCGGAGAGAGCTGCAGGAGTGTCTGTGGGGGCGAACACGCACACGCCTGGGGCCAGATGTGTGGTGAGTGTGGTGGTGGTCAAAAGCAATGTAAAGGGAGACAGGAGTTTCTTCCCCTTTCACATTCATAACACACACGTCAAAGCTCCCTCAGTTTTCCCTTCAAAGCACTCGCCAGCTCTATAAGGAGGTAAAAATCCAGGCATCTCCTTAGATTCTCATGGTCCCCCCTGTCCCTCCACCCCTCCCCTTAAATCCTGGCAAGTCCTGCTGCCCCTACATCCCAAACACGGTCCCCACCCACCCACTTCTCTCCATCACCACCTCATGGTCCCAGCCACCACTGTTCTCCCACTGGGAGGCCAGTGCAACATCGTTGCTCCTGCTCCCGGTCCTGCCCCCTTCATCACCAAAACAACCAGCCAGTCTCTAAACTGGTAACTACACCACACCCTGCTTTAAACTCTTCAGTGGCTTCCTATGCCTTTGAGACTATAACCCACGCTTGGACTGGACACTGGCACCACCAGGTCACCGTCCACCTCTCTGGCCTCACCTCCCATCCCTCACCACTCTGCAGCTCTCTGCTCCTCGAACTGGCCAAGACCATTCCAATCCTGAGCCCCGGGCTGTTTTTCCTACCTGGAGCACCCTATCCCCAAGTATTTGAATGACTGGCTCCTTGTCACTCAGCTCGAGGCTCAAGAGTCCCCTCTGAAAAGAAGCCTCCTCCATCACCTCATCTAAGGTTGGCTGCCTCCCCCATCTCCCAGGTGACACGCATCGTTATCACCAATGGCCTGTTGCGAGTGTGTCATCTGACACCTCCCCAGCAGAACGTGAGTCCTTGAGAGCAGGGGCTGGGTCTGATCTGCAGCCTAATTCCCAGCACCCAGAAGAGAAGCTGGCACGTAGCAGGCATGAGTTCAAAATCCAGAGAACACTGTAAGTCAGCTATGCTCCAATAAGAACATTTAAATAAATAAATAAGTTATCCAGAGAATAAATGGATCTGTTTGGTTAGTAATTTTCTCTCTCGTGGGCAAGGAATTATGCTTCTCACTGTAGCCGCTAGGCCAAGCCCAACCTCCGATGCTCAAGGATGTGAAAGAAGGAAAGGAAAAGAGTGTGTGTGGACAAGAGGGGAAGAGGGTGGAGAGCACCGAGTGAGCGGAGAAGTGAGTATTGTATTGCATGGGGGCACCAGCAAGTGCTACCTGGAGGCAGTTATGGGGACCCTTCCCCGAGCTCTAACATACCCTCGCCTTACATCTCCCAATCTCTCCTTCTAGATGCTCTTTTCCCTCCTCCTCTATTCTTATCCTCTGTCTCCTTAGTTTGCTTTCAAGCTGCCTCTGCTTTGAGTACCTGGAGATTAGACAGAGGCCCTACAAGCAGCTTCCATGGCCCAAAAAAGCTTAGTAGACACAAAATCTAGGTTTCCTCTGTGCAAACCTCATAGTATATCATCGCTTCTCTCAGAAAATCACGGGGCCTCTCTTCATGGACAACGAGAGTAGGGCTCATTTAGAAGAGATTTTAATTACCCCATATACCAAGCGACCAAGGGCAGGAGGAGAGCCCCAGGGTCACTGTGGCTGTCACTCAAGGTCATGTGAGGTCCTCCATGGTCAGGCAGAGTGAGAGAACTTAATTGCTGTGGATTTTCTGTTCTAGTGGGAAAGCAGCTTTGGTATTCTTCCAAAGTGTGTCCGAAACTACTTGGTCTTCCTAAATAAACAGTCACCTCAAAGACAGTGATCGTATCCAAAATATATTATGGGTGATCATTGAATATAATATAAATCCTAAATCAGAACAGTTTCTGGGCAATTTTAAGTCATCTGCTCCTTTCCAAATACAAAGAATACAAATCGCCCCAAAAGACAAAAGGAAATGGCCATTAAGTCAATGAATTCTAGAAGGCTGAATAATTGCTACTTTGTTTGAAGTAAATAAGAGATAAAACCCAACAGGAGGCTTATGGAAAAGACGGCAGAGCAAAGGATAAAGAAGAGTGTCCAGGAGACTCAGAGGAAAGCATACCTCAGAAAATGATTTAACGCAACATCCAGAAGAAGAATATAAAAACCTGTCTTGGTGTCCATAATGGAGATCAGGAGGACAGAGCTGCTGTGCATGAAGTAACAGCAGAACATCACAAGAAAAGAGCGAGGTCAGATGGAGAATCACCCAAGAGGAAGAATCATAAAGAAAGCAGAAGCAGGACTTGTCCATCAGAGATTTATCAAAGGTCAGTCCTGGTTCTGCCGTTTACAATGTATCCTCCCAAAATGCCCGACCTTCCAGATGGTAACCCATCTCCTAAGGCACTGGTAAGGATTAAATTTAAAAATATCTGGGCAAGCATCCATGCAGCCAGTGGCTCCCCCTAAATCCTGATCACCGTGCTCATTCCCACCTCGGATTGGGGTTCATGCTTATTGAATCCGTTTCGACCCTTTCAATCCTGTTCATCCTACAGAACTCATCAGAAGGTGCACCTCCTCCGCGAAGCCCGGGGTAGGTGAGGGTTTCTCCCCTTTCAGAGCTCTCCCTGCAGTCAGTGCTCGCACTAAAACACTGTCACATTGGAAAATGGTCTTCCTTAAGTCAGTCTCTGAACTACCGTATGTAAAAGCCCAAAGAGGACACAGACTTTCTGAAGTCAGAGTCTACAATCAGTAGATTTTTTTTAAGAACTCCATTATGCTGGGAAATCTTGAACTAGAAATAACTTGTGAAACTGGGATATCTGGTGATAAAGAACAAAGAGGAAAGATCTCATCCACTTCTGAATGATGTCCTGCTGGGGGGATCTTGGCCTCCACAGTCATACTCTGTAGAACCACCCACCCATCACCCCATCACCTTTCCTTCAAGGAGGGACGGAAGGTCAGGAGCCAGCAAGAAAGGAAATAAGTACTGAAGGTCAGAGACAATAGGAGTGACTGGCTCACTGGGATTTATAATGGGAGAGAGAAGCGTGTTTATGGTTCTACAGTTTTGTAATCTCGGGGTAGACCTGGCAATGGGAGGCTGGTTGCCAGCATCCAAGTTTTCTGAACCCCTAAGTGACAAATTCTAAACACACCCCATTCTTACCTATATTGTGCTTGAAAGTGGCTTTGCACAAAACTTTGGCCTAAAGAAAGCGCAGCCGAGGGGGACAGGGCGTTCTCAGAGGTTTTCCTGGCTTCAGGCTGAAGCTGCAAAGAAACGAGGAGAGGAAGCAAGATTAGATGTGCCTCCCATCACTACGGAGCCTACGGCCTCCTCCTGGGTCCACAGCATCCCTCCGGGGCCCAGACCTGCAGAGCCAGAACCTTCCATGTTGTCTTACCGTTAATTCACCGCCCCTTCAATCCCTGGGGCCCCCAAATTCCCTGAGAGAGAGACCGGGCATGTGCTGAAGGAGCAGAAGTGAAGCCTGAGCGCCGGCGAGCGCTGACGCATACTCACCCGGTCCCCACCGCTCCCTCGGATTACCCGGTCCTCTCCCGCCCTCCTGCTGGGCCCCCTGTGTCTAGATGCCTCCTGTACATCTCACTCCAAATACACCCACACCAAATCTGCCCATCTTCCACGTTCCGGTCCACACTTTCCGGGGAGCCAGTCTTCACACGAGCATCAACTTTCTCAGACAAACCAGGTTTGCTCACGCCTCAGAACAATGCACCGGCCTCCTCCCCTCTTCCACAGTCAGTCCTCTTGTGTCCTTCTTTGCATTCCCGTATGTATTAATTTCCTGTTGCGGCTCCAGCAAACTACCACAAACGAGTTGCTTGGAACAACAGAACTGTACTCTTGCACAGGTCTCGGACCAGACATCCAAAATCAGTATCATGAGGCCAAAATCAAGGTGTCAGCAAGAGCGTATAAGTGTTTGTCGTTGTTCCAGGATGGGACGTATCTGACAGGTTTTGAACCTAAGTGGTACCTATGTGCACAGAGACAGGCTGTAACCTGACAGCCAAGCACACGATTGAGGAGGGGGAGTCTGGAGCCAGGACACAGAATAGGAGGCTCAATGGTCTGCGTCCCCACAGGGTGGCTAGAGTAGGAGCTGTGAAAATAAGGAGGAGGAATGGACTCAGTCCAGTCACCCTGTGGACACAGCCCGTAACTGCGCACCAGAAGAGGGAGGATATATGCGGCGTCAACTCCCAGCTTCCAGCCTGGTGGCTGGAGAACTCCTGTTCCATTAACAGAGGAGGGAAAGTCAAAAGGAGACAGTAGGTTGGGGAGGAGGGGCGGGCACGCTGAAGTCGAGGGTCATTGACCCCAGGGCAGGCACCTAACGGCAGGCAGAAGGCTCGGAGGAGTGACAGAGAACCTGGATGCAGAGCGGACATTAGCATTTTGGGGCTGCCCGGGACTGACTCCTCTTCTTTGGGAAGAGCCTCCCCTGCTTTGGGAACATAGAATCCAGTCCATGGGGAGGCGGGGAAGGCTTTTTAATCAGGCATCCTGCCCTCCCTTACCAAAGGGACAGGCACATGACCCAACCAGACAGAGGTGATGTTCCTGCCCCGTGTGTCAATCATGGGCAGAGAGACCAAAAGGCTGCAAAGAGTGACTCTAGCGGAAGCGTCCAGGCTGGAGGATTGAGCCATTCCTGCCACCAAGATGCCCCCAGCCCAGAGCTGTCTGGTTCTTGATGGTTCCAAGCCCGGCTTCAGCCTTCCCTTGGAGTCTACGACACACACCCCGCACTTCCTGTCTGAGTCAGCTGAAGCTGGCTGCTGCTCCTTGCAACCCAAGACCTCATGATGATACGGGCTGCTTCTCTGTCAAGATGATGGCACGGCATGCTTTGGAAGGGGCTGGGATGGGATCATCTGAGGCTGGGTCTGGAAAGAGAAAATCCCGAACGAGGTTGGGGTAAGAGACAGCAGAGGGTCATTCACAGAGCAGGGACCACGAGGTCAGACCAGGCTGGCTGACTCCACTATCCCAGTGACCCTGAATCTCTCCCTGAGCCTTGTTCTGCATCTAAAAGGAATAGGAATATCACATCCAGCTGGATGGAGCCATCATTTAAATCCAAAAGAGGGGGGCGGGTGGTAGAGCTCAGTGGCAGAACGTGTGCTTAGCATGCACGAGGTCCTGGGCTCAAGCCCCTGTACCTCCATTTAAAAAGGCAATCAATCCATCAAAAAAGATACAGGTATCCTGCCTGGCATACAGTAGGTGCTTAATAAATGTTAGCTTCCTGGTCTTGCCCCAGCCCCATTCCTTCCTTACTTCTGCATGAGTGGTGTTTTCTGTAAGATCACCTGCCAAAATGGCTTCTTGTGTCACAGCATCTAAAGTGAGTAAAAAGACCCCATTTCCACCAGATGAACACATCTATCATTGCGTTAATAGAGAAGAAAGTGGTCCTTATGTTTTTTATTCCCAGTTTCAAATCAATCGAGCTACATGGCTTTCATATGTTTCAAAACAGAAATAACCTCAGAAAGAAAAATTGTTCAGTTACACAGAGGACAGTCCCTTTCCTTCTTGGAAACAGAAAACGAAGTTCGTGCCAAACAGTCCAACAGCTCTGCTCTTTTACCTTCAACCGTTCACAGCCAGGCCTCCGCGGGCAGCCCGATTTTCTGAGAGCAAATTTCTAGAGAGGCTTTGACCCCGGACAGAGAAAAGGATCTTTTCTGGTTTCAATCAGGTCAAATGAAGAGCCAGAGAGAGGAGGTTGCCGGAGACTCAGATTAGAGTCTCCTTCAACCGGGCAGAAGTTGAGTGACCTGAACAACTTAAGCTCCGTTTCCCTTAGCTGGGACACTCGAGCTACCCTCTCAAGCATTAAGACATGATAAATACCTAATTGTTTCAACCACTGCAGAGTTTATGAGCGTATCCTATGTGTCAGGAGCGAAGTCGGGCCTGAAAGCATCACTTCAGGTGCCTGGCACATGACACATCTCAGTAAACAGTATCTCTCTCTTTTTTAATACATCGTTCTGATTTCAAAATGTGTTCACACTAAGATTGTGGATTACACTGTAGCGACATGTTTATCTGCTCAGCATTCCCTTCCTGGGAGAAGTAACCTGCCCCAACTCTACAGAAGCTGTCCTTGGCCCACGTGATTTCGGTGGCACTCACGCCACGGGCATGTGACCAATATGCCCAATCAGAATATTCCATCCTGGTGGCCACCTGCCCAGGGGTGGACATGTGAGCCAAGCTACAACAACTGGGCTCCTTCATGGGCTTTTTCTGGAATCCCAGGTGGAAAAGGCTATATGAGCATTGCAGGGGCCCATCTTGCCACTGTCTGCACACAGCCAATCTAAGAATGGAGAGTCAAAGAGATAAAGAGCCAAAGACCTAGGGACATCATCTGCGTCCTTAGATCCAGCCTTACCTGAAGCCGGCTCAGCCCTTGCACTTACAAGTTCTAAAAGCCAATAAATGCCCTCTCCTTAAGTTTGACCAAGTTAAATTTCTGTCACTTGCAACTAAAAGGGTCTGAGTTAGATAAACAGAAAATCATAGTACGTGTATGAAAACTCACCCATAACCCCACAACCCAGAGAAAACACCATAACCTTTGAGGGTCTGGTCCTCCCAGGTTCTGTTTGATGATGCTTTTGCTTTGCTTCATTTGTGTCTTTTGGAGTGAATGAGGTGGTTCTTTCTAAAAATAAGAAAACCAGCTTTCCAGCCAGTCCTCCTTCGACTTGAATCCTGATTCTGTCTCTTCTTAAGCTGTGCTGCTTTGGGAAGGTTATCCACCTCTCTGAATCTTGGGTTACCTATAAAATGGGGATAATAACTCTAGCCACACTCCACAAATGGCAGCAGTTACTCACACTGGGTACAACACTCCAAGATGTGATCTGAGGAGTACAGAATACTATACAATCATTATCTCCCCCGTCCCAGGCATTTGGCAACCTGCTATCTCAGACTTGAGAACTGTTTTTGCAGCTCTGCCAGGCTCTTAGCTTCTACATTATGTTGTTTTAGATAGGTCTATTCTTATTCAAGACATACATGGTTACATTCTCCTTTTCTTAAAGGTACAACTTGTCATTTTCAAAGAGAGAGAAAGACAGGTAACAGCTGGCTATACAGACAAGAAGATGACTCAGCTTCCTGAGCCACTTTATTTTTAAATAAACATTGCATATATTTCAAGGGTGCTGCAGGATGACTTGACTTACGTCTACACAGTGAAATGATCACTTCCAGCGAGCTAACCAACACAGCCATCTCCTCACATAGTTACCTCTTCTGTGTGGGGTGCGAGCACCTGAACTCTACTTTTAGCAAATTTCCGGCATTCAGTACAGTACTATTCGCGGTTGTCATCCTGCTGAACGCCAGGTACCTGGACTTATCCCTCCCACACCACTGGCACTGCCGTTCAGTCTTCACTTCTCTAGAATGCTGGGCCCCCGCAGGTAATGAAAGGATGAAGAAGTGACGGGTGAAAGATTTAAACACTTCCAAAGGGCTTTTTAATTGACTCACAGGAGGGATGGGAAAAAATGTCCAGACTTAACACAAACAAACTAGCAAAGCAGTTCTTGCAGCTGCACCTGGATCGGTTTGGAGACACATCAAGAGGAACACATGACGGATTAATTACCAAAGCTTGCGAAACACTTTTTTAAATTACAGCAGATTATTCGTGGATACTGTGGGAGTAACTTTGCTCTCTCATGGGATAATAACTTCTAAGCTTTTACATTTTTAAGTGAGAGATGAAAGGACAGCATTAGAGCAGAACTCATCACTGATCTTTATTTAGCAAAGCCCATAGAGAACACAGCTGATGTGACGATTAACCGTGGTTATTATGAGTGATCGTAGGGCTCTCTTATTCTCAAGGGCTTGAGGTTTCATCCAAATCTGGGAACGCTAAGTGCACACATGGAAAGATTATCCATCCTGTGTCTTGAGAAAAAGACTGGGAGTCGCTGCTCCGTAGGATGAGTGAGAAAGCAAGGGGAGAGTTAAAATGGTACCACCTGAAAATAACAAACTATGGCACGATGGCCTCGGCTGACCATACCAAAGCCTAGGATATTGACAAAAAGGAGATTTTTCAAACTTTAAACCAAACAGAAACCCTCATTCATTGTCTCGCTGGGATTAAAGAGGATGAGGTGCTGCAATGGGAGGAAATGCCTGGTCTTAACACAAACGGGGTTCAGAGGAAGGAGCAAGGAACGGTGCTGTGTGTGCGGTGGCCAGAATACACACAAATCTAAGAATCTGGGTTTCCAGATTTAGTTTTGAGGAGCTGAGCAAATATGCAAGGGAGAAGAAAAGGAAATCCAACACCGTGTGTGGTTTCGAGGGTGACCGACCTGGTCAGACCCCGGCCCGCAGGACGAGCCCTCCAGGTCCTCGTGCACGCGGTCCAGCAGCCAGAGCAGGAACTCCAGGGCGTCGTGCTGCGAGCTGCCTTGGAACTGAGAGCCGTACTTGGACACAGCATTCTGGAAGGAACAGAGGGAAATTAGATGGGCAGTTTGGCCTTTCCAACAACCGGCTAAGCACCAAGTCTACCCACGGTGGCGATTCAGCCCTGACGGGGAATGACAGCTCAAAACCCTGCGCGGCGGGAAGCAGCCTCCCCCAGGGAAGCAGTGTGAGCAGGGTTGCAGACCCAGACCACCCTCACCACGGCTAGTGGAATCAAAGGGCCTGGGCTGTTTTCTTTTCCTTTCTTTCAGTCTTTCCTTGGGATTTACAGAAAACCTTAGGATGCGCCGACACAAAATTCAAGATTTAACTGAGATGCTGGTTCTGAGTCTCTGGAACACACTAGCTTCGGTGCACAGGAGGGTCTAGTTTGGATTCTCCCCCCAGGCTTCTCTGCACTTTGACTCCCAAGCAGGGCTGTCAGATTAGTGAATAAAGTAAATAATAAATAGGCAATAAACAACGAACGGTGTTTGCGGTAGGAGTATGCCCTATGGAACCTGAGGGGTGTATTTCTACTCACAAGTTATTGTTTATCTGAAATTTCAATTTAACTGAGCATCATGTCTTTTATCTGGTAACCCTACCCCCCTGTCTCCCTCAAACCTGTATCCTTAGTACCAACATTCTCTCCTGGTTGAGGCGGGGGAGGGGTCCCTTGATCCCGCCCTTCCAACTCGAAATCTCTAAAGCCAGCTCTTTCTCTTAGCATCAGTGTCCTCTTTCAGGTTCCCCCTCAAACACACATCAGTCAGCTTCCCATCCTGCTCCTTCAGAGGAGTCCTAGTGCCATTGCTAAGTGCTAACTCCTGCTGATCCAGATGGCAATACCTACCCACAGAGGAGCCCAGCCCCCGGGACGTCCCCCTGCCAACCCACCGCCTGCAGGAGAGCTCAGACCCATCTTCCAGAGCCCCGCTGGTGGTGGTGCCCTTACTCCCAACCCCTCCTGACCCGCTGACTCACCCCCTAACAATCCAAACTCCTCCGGTCTGGTCCCATCCATCGCTCACCACTCCCTCACGTACTTCAAAGCTCCTGGTAAATGAGCCACTGTGGCAGGGAGGCAAACACACTTTCCCACGTCTATCGTCCCTACCTCGACTTATTCTTCCTTCCAAGAGAAATCCACTCCCCTCCTGCTAATCACCCTAATCCTTCAAAACTGACACTTACCTCATCTTAGTCTGGCTAGAGAGCCACACAACCTTTACAGAAAGAATTTGACAATTTCAAGAAGACAGACAAGATAAGACCTTAATGATGTCCCTTTTTATAAATTCCACGCCGCGGGGTTTAGCCTAAGGTAATGAGAGATACAAGCAAAGATACCTCAATGTATTACAGCTATCAGGGGGAAACTTACTGCACACTTATATCAGATGGCCTTAAAAATTATGCTTGAGGAGATGCTCAAGAGAAAAGGAATGATCCTGTCATTTTTAATACAAAAATATATGAGATTATTTTATGTAGATTTATAGATAGATAAAAGACTAGAAAATATACGGTAAAATATTAACCAATGGTTTTAGAAAGATGGGACCATAGGAGATTTTTTTTCATTTTCATTTGTATATTGCAAACTTTTTTTTTTTACAATGAACACTGTTCTTTATTGGTCTTTCTCCAATTATAACAGTATCTGGCAGGTGTTTTACAGAATATTTTTTATGACTTTACCTATTGATTCTATTATTGAAGTCCTTTGGAAGTCTATTGAAATGTGACTAGAACTGCATCACAGTTAAATGCTAACATGGGAGGGATGAATAGCAATATTTGGTATTTCTACTCGGCAGTGTGGCACGGCTATACCTGTGTGTGTGTGTGCAAGTGTGGGTTTCTCCCTCACAACACTGATCATTTATCTGATATCTGTTATAATAAATATTCCTAGTTATTTCATATTTCTTGTTTTTAGGGATGAAATCTCATTTTTATATGTTTCTAAATTGGTCTTGCTTTTGATCTTCTATTTTGTACCTAACCCCATTAGTGACAGCGATAATTCTAAAACATGGATTTCGAGAACCATTTAGTAATTTTCTTTCTGTTCAATATTTTTTACTCCATTTCCATTGCATGTCTTACTGTTTTGTCCAGAACTTCCAAAACACACAAATGAAGAAGGTAAACTTTTTTTTTAAATGCCTCCTCATATATCCAGAGAAAACTCTAATTCAAAAAGTCACATGCACCCCAGTGTTCACAGCAGCACTATTTATAATAGCCAAGACATGGAAACAACCTAAAAGTCCATCAACAGATGACTGGATAAAGAAGATATGGTATATATATATATATATATACAACAGAATACAACTCAGCCATAAAAAAAAAAAGAATGAAATAATGCCATTTACAGCAAAATGGATGGACCTGGAGATCATCATTCTAAGTGAAATAAGCCAGAATCAGAAAGAAAAATATCATATGATATCCCTTATATGTGGAATATACAAAAAAAGACACAAATGATCTTATTTATAAAACAGAAACAGACTCAGACATAGAGAACAAACTTCTGGTTACTGGTGGGGGAAAGGAGGTGGGAAGGGATAAATTGGGAGTTCGAGAGTTGCAGATACTAACTACTATGTATAAAATAGATAAACAACAAGTTTATACTGCATGACACAGGGAACTATGTTCAATATCTTATATTAACCTATATGAAAAAGAATATATGTACGTATATGTATGACTTTAGTATTGTGCTATACACCAGAAATTGACACAACATTGTAAACTGACTATACCTCCATTTTAAAAGGTTAAAAAAAAAAGCAATGCCTCCAGCATATCACTTGAGGCATCCCACATGCCTAAAATTGTTGGTTTAAAATTGATCCTCAAGCACATAAGCTAAGATAAATTCCAGATGGTGGAAATCCTTAATATAACCATAGAAGAACTAGAAGTATATAAAATAGAATGTTTCTCAAAAGGTATGAAATAAGTAAAACTTTCAGCAGGGAGAAGGAGAGAGTTTGCCGAAAATGTTTGCAGCAAATATGACAAGAGTTGAGGGACTTACAGAAACAAGAAAAAAGAACATTAAGACCAAGGCAGAATGGACAGACAGACAACATAAACAGACAACTCCAACAGCAGCTGGAATTCCTACGACTAGTAAAAAAGCATGCAAGAATCCAACACCTCACTGCTTGTAAGTAAAAACAAGACGCTACTTCTTTTTGTTCTATAAATTAATGACAGAACATCCTGTACCCATCGCTGGTATATCTAAAATTTGATATAATTATTTCGAAAGAAATTTGTTGATAGGAGTACTAAAAATAATCAAGTCCAATAAAGTCGATTTAAAAACTAAAAAAACAACAAAAAACAATAAATACTTAAAACTGGGATGGTGATTAACAGGTACACATGTCAAAACCCATCAGATTCTACACATAACATTTTTACTCAGCCACGAGGAAAGAAATTCTGCCATTTGCAGCAACATGGGAGGACCATGAGGACACTGTGCTGAGTGAAATAAGACAGGAACAGACAAAGGGGGTATGATCTCTCTTATATGCAGAATCTAAAAAGCCTGAAATCAGAAAAACAGAAAGTAAAACGGTGGCTACCAGGGGCTGAGGGTGGGGGAATGGGAGAGATGTGGTTTAAGGGGACAGATTTGCAACTAGTAGATAAATGAGTCCTGGAAACAAATACATGGTCCAGGTGGAGGTATTGTGGGTTCGGCTCCTGACCACCGTAATAAAGCAAATATCACAAAGCGAGTTACACCAGTTTTTTGGTGTCCCAGGGCATATAAAAGTTATGCTTACACTATGCTATAGTCTCTTAAGTGTGCAACAGCATTATGTCTAAAAAAAAACCAATGTACACACCTTAATTAAAAAATAATTTATTGCTAAAAAATGCTAATCATCATCTGAGCCTTCAGCAAGTCTCATCTTGGTGACGTGTCAGCCTTGATGCTGATGGCTGCTGAACGATCAGGGTGCTGGCTGCTGAAGTTTGGGGCGGTTGTGGCAATTTCTTAAAATAAGACCACAGAGATGTTTCCTGCATGGATTGAGTTTTCCTTTCACTCAAACACTTAGAGGCCATTGTAGGGCTATTCACTGGCCTAACTTCAGTATTGTGTGTCTCAGGGAATAGGGAGGCCCGAGGAGAGAGAGAGAGATGGGGGGATGGCCAGTCCGCAGAGCAGTCAGAACACACACATTCATTGACTCCGTTCACCATCTTACACGGGCGCAGTTCATGACGCTCTGAAACAACTACAATAGTGACATTAAAGATCACTTTAACAAGGATAATAATCATGAAAAAGTCGGAAATACTGTGAGAATTACCAAAATGTGACACAGAGACATGAAGCGAGCAAATGCTGCTGGAAAAAATGGCACCGATAGACTTGCCCAACGCAGGGCTGCCACAAAACCTCAGCTTGTAAAGGATGAAACGCCTGCACATTGCAATAAAGGGAGGTGTGCCTAGGCAGTGATTATAGACAACAAAACTGAACTATAGACATTAAACTTGCTAAGAGACTAGATTGTAATTGTTCCCAACACTAGAAAAATGATAATTATGCGACAGGTCGATGTTAACCTGCGCTACTGTCGGCAATCCTGCTGCAATACAAATGCAGGAAATCAGTACGCTGTGTACCCTGCACAGCGTCGTATCTCTAATATAACTCAATATTTTAAACTGGGTGCATTTCATTGTACATGATTTATACCTCAAAAAAGTTGATTTAAAAAGCTTTCTTGCTTTTTAGATTTATTTTAGATTATTTTTAGATTTCTTTCTAAAAATAACAAAATAGCCATCTTTGCTTTAACCATGTAATTTCACTTCAAGGAATTAAGCTTACAGAAAGGATCAGAGCTAAGGACAATGATTTAAACATAAGAATTTTCAGTGCAGCGTGATAACTGGAAAATTGTACAGTACATAAATATATCCCGAGGAATTGACGAGCTCTTTTTATGAAATATTATACAATCATTAAAAATTAAGTTTTATAGAATATTTTAATGACCAGGAGAAAGTCTTATGTTAATACTTAAATTAAAAAAGCAGGATACAAAACTAGAACTTCCAATTGTTTGTATATGATCTGAAGCACATCAACATGGTTATTTGGTTCTCTCTAGAGGGTGGAGTTCCAGATTTTTTTTCACATTTTAGCACTTTCCAATTTTTTATAGTTACATACATTTAATTACATCATTAGAAAAGCAAAATATTATGAATAATACCACAGGCAGGATTTCAAAAATGTATGTATTTACTTGCTGTTAAAACAAAAAGCAGTCCTACTGCCTGTGCAGGCCAGGTGACTTGGGGCTCAGGAAGGATGGGATACCACAAACCCATCCCATATGTGTGTCTGGGCCGGGGTAACTCACTCCAGCATGTTGGCCCCTTCTAACTTCCTCCCTTTCTGGGTTTGAACCTAACAATCCCTCTTAAAGACCAAACTCCTTTACACAATCTTAGGTGGCTTGTCCCCAGCCAATTCTCCAGCCCCTTCCCCCAGCCATATCAGCTTTCATGAATTCATCTTATCATTCATTCATTCTGCCCAGCCGGAAAGGCTTCTTGGCCCTACCCCCTCAGTGACTGACATTTTCAGTCTCAGGGTCTACAATGTATTTGCCCACCCTCCCATGTCCTTTGTTTACCCTTCATCCTTCAAAACTCAATTCAGTGGTTACCTCTCCTGCCCTGCCTCCTCACGCCACCTCCCCTCCTGCTAGAAGTGCCCTGTATCTTTATGTTGTAGCACTTCTTATCAGTTCTAATCATACACCCCTGGGATTATTTCACTGACATCCACCTCTCCTGCTGGACTGTCGGCTTCTGGAGAGGAGCCCCAGGATCAGGAGTTATGCCTATCACCCCACATGTATTCCATGCTCCCTGTACAGAGTCTGGACACTCCATATCCGTTGAATGAATAAGTGTCTCCTCATCTATGAAATAAGAAGAGCCCACCTAGACTTCAACCAGCAAGGTTTAAAAGCCCAGATTCTGGAATCCTTCTCCACTCTCTCCAAGGCTGCCTTCCTGAAGTCGCAGCAAACCCTGGGTTATATCACCTTTATCAATGTATTAACAACTTGATTATCCTTCAGTTCTCCAAGGCTCACAGGGAGCTTCTTGGCCCTTTGAGAGCAGGCAATAGATAGGAAATCCTGGTGAGTCAAGGAAAGTGATTACTAATTTGATAGACATTTCAAGCTCCTCTTGCCTCTCCCATTGCTGCAGTAACTGGATGAGAATGCATCAAGCAAGAGAAAAGGTACACAAAGATTACCTCCCTGCCTCCTCTAGGTCTCTGCAGGTGAGGACATATAATTAACTCATTTGATGCTCACAACAACCCTATAATAAGGTAGGTACCACTAGAGTCCCGTTTGACAGATGAGGAACATTGAGGCACAGTTGAGCTTTTAGTAACTTGTTCAGGGTCACAAAGAACTTGCTCTTAACCACTGCTTCTCACATTTAAAAAGCAAATGATGCCAAAGGAGGTATTACTGACACCCATTTGACCCACTGACTCCTGCAGGAGAGGGCTTCACTGGTCGAAGCAGGGGAGAGGACGGTGAGGGTTGGCATCCTTTAGGGTCACATGGCAAGGATTGCTTTCTCAGGCTGAAACTCAAGAGCGGTGATGCTTGTGGAATGAACACTGACAAGTTCCGCCTCCCCCAAGAACAACAGTCCCTAGTCTGTGGGGAGCCTCAGCTCTCTGCCCAGAGCTGTGGTTTTTTAGCAGGAAGCCAGCCATGTGCATCAATTATCAGGACCCTTTAATCCAACCGGGACCCCAAACAAATACCCTGCTTTAATCCTGGGTGAGGTGATACACATAACTCCCAAAGCCTCATGATCCTGCAGCATCCCCGCTAAGCAGACCGTAACCGCGGGGACAATGGATACAAACCCACGCTAACGCATCCTAGACGATTTAATTCACACTGAACCAAAGGATAGCACCTCCGGTACGGCACACGCACTGCCTCCCCTCCAGCACTCAGCGCAGTTCTTGGCGCGCAGGGTCTTAGCTTCCAGTGGGCTTAGAATAAAATGCTAACTCCTTACCATTGCCTCCGAGACCTTACATGGTCTGGCCAACCTCACATAGGCCCCTCTCTACTCTGGTGGGCAACAACCACCCTCGTTTTCTTTCATGCCTCCAGTTCTCAACTCCTTCAGGCCTCTGGCCTTTCTATGTGCTGTTCCCTCTCCCTGGATTATTCCTAGATCTTGGCCTAGCTGCGTCCTCGTCATTCATCTCCTCCCTCCGAGGTCTTGGCCTTCGAAGTCGGACTCCCCCCAGCGCATGCCTCTAGACTGGTAACTCTATCCCTAACGTTAGAATCCTTCAACGAATGTTTGTTGAACGCAAAAGAAAAAAAGGGTTGAATACACTCCAATCTACCAGCTCCCTGCACTCACCCCCACCCCTCAAAAAAATGCCTGTAAGTTAATTCAAAAGAAAACATTCGCAAGCAATAACATACTAATCAACTCAAAACAAAAGCGACTATCCGGAGCTGAACTGGTAAATGCCACCTAAAGAAGTCCCCAGGAACACCCTTTCCTGATGGCGCAAGCACTTCTCCAGAAGGGCCGGGACTCGGCGGCCGCCGAGCGCTGCCTACCTTGAACTCCGCGGAAAGTTGAGGCGTGTATTCGCGGGTCCAGAGCGCGCGCACCAGCGCCGCCAGCTGCTCGGTGACCTCGGCGCGGCCGGGCGCCGCCCGGTAGCGCCCCAGCGCCAGGAACTCGGCCAGCAGGTCGGTGTTGCTGAGACATTGCACCACGGCGTTCATGAAACAGGTGTTGCCGTGGTTCTTCAAGCCCTGCGCTTCCCGGGGGCCGCGCCCCGTCGCCGGCGGGGAGCTGGGGCTGGGGTCTGGGCGGGCGCTCCTCCCCGGGGCTTCCGGGCGCGGCTGGATCCGGACCCGGGACGCCGGCAAAGCCCCCCTCCCCGTCACCATCGCCAGGTCCC